CGGGCAATCCTCTCTCTTTTCCACAATCTTTAACTCGCCAAGTACTTGCCCCTTCAGACATTATGCGTTTGTTTTTCACTTCGGGGCCGAAAACTAACCATTCGGTTCAGTTCGGGTGACCAGGGGGACTTCACTCGGAGTCGCCGTTCTTTTTCTGGTATTCTTCTAGTTCGGCGTTTCAACCTCGCCTCCGGGGCCGCTATTGCCTAGTCACTTTCCTCAGCTCCAGTACTTTCCTGTGGGTGATTTGGTTTTTCTGAATAGCCTGACAAAGCAAACAACTTCCTTTAACCGAAGAAAGAGTTAAAAAGAAAAAGAAACATATACAGAAAAGCAACCGAAGTCACTAACCAGAATCATGGATTTAGTAGCAGACCGGATGGACTTCAGCTCGGTGGTTAACTGTTTTTGGTGATGTTCCATGTCTTTGGGCAGACACACGCTCTTGGCCAGGTTGATGGCCAACAGGTGGTCTTTCTCAGCAACGACCGAGTCTGTGTCTAGAATGACTCGGTCGTTGAAGGTTAGTTTCGGTGCCCAGCAGCCGATGGTTCGGTCGGAAGACTCCGGTTGGGGGCTCGGTGGTAAGCTCGGCTGAATAGGAGTTTCTTCATCAATCAAAACTCGTTCGGGTTCGGAAGTTCGGGCACGTTTGGTTCGGCGGGAAGAGGATGGCTGTTGGGAAGGAAGGGCGACAACAGCAGGCTGCGGTTGGCTGGGAGGCGCCACTTCGGGCCTAGTTGTTTCGGTAAGAAGGGCCCTGACTCTGCTCCTTTTCGCCATCTCTTCTTCTGCGGTTAGAGGGACAAGTCTTATTTCGGGCAAAGTTGGGTCCGGCTCCGGTGCCTCTTCAAGAAGGAAGTCAGTCACCCTTGCTTTTCGGCGACCGCTGTAGCGATAGGTCGGCTCAAAATTTAGAAGCTTGGCCCAATCTCTTTCCTTAATCCGAAATGCGGCTCGCAAGACTCCGAGGTTGGGATAGCTATACAAGGAATGGAGATGGGCGAAATCTGCAAAAAAGAGAGAAGTGTTAGTTCGGCTAATAGACTAAAACAACCGAGATAACACACAAAGCAGAAGACCGAAGTAAAATTACCAGGCTCTCCCATTTTCCAATTTATAGGTCGGCCAGGAATTTGAGCTTGAAAATCCTCAAAGTTCCCAGAGACCCAAAAGAAATCATCATCATTGAGATCTTTATCCGGAGTGTGTTTAATTATCTTCTCTCGACGACGGCGAATTCTAAGGTAGTAGACCCACCTAGCATTCTTTGAGCCAATAGAGTATTGATGAAAGATCTCGGCCAGACCAAGATTTAGTCCGGTTTGGTGGTTTAATACGGCTATCCCCATTATAATACGATATGTATTGATGGATAGTTGGGTGGGACATAACCTAGTCAGTCTAAGAAATTCGCAGATTAGCGGTTGGACAGGAAACCGTAGTCCGGTTTCTATTATGGATTGAAGGGTAAAGGGGACGAAGCCTTCATTGTCCCAGGGAGTAGCATCTTTTTCGGCCAACGTCAGATGGACATCATTAGGAATCTGGTAATCTTGCCTAAATTCGGCCATGCCACCAGGGGTTTCGACTAAATTTGTGTTTTCAGGTGACAAAGCGACGTCGTACGGAGGCAGGAATCTGGTAGTCCTGCCTGAATTCGGCCATGCCACCAGGGGTTTCGACTAAATATCTATACTTACCCATTTGTTGTATAATTTATGAATAAATTATTTCGGTACCAAAACTAGGCTCAGTAGCTCGGTTGAGCACACGCAGGAGTGCCTGGGCAACCTAAGTCTGCAAAGTAGAAAACAAAGGGGTTAAGCACAGATCGTTGGACCGCGCTACAAATTATAAGCAAGATATACAAATCCTACTTCGGTTTAGCGGGCTGGTTCTACCTCGGCTCATCAGAAGGTTTCTTAGCTCGGTTTCGAGCAGCTTAGACCGTTTTAACGTCTAGGGGCAGCTTTCTGAGTTCGGTTCAAAAATCTAAGAAAGCTGGTTTAGTCCCAAGGCCTAAATCGGTTGCGATGTGAAGAAAGTTACTCCGACTGAGCCCTAGGGGCGGCTTTCTGAGTTCGGTTTCAGAACTAAGAAAGCCAGCTTGGCCCCAAGGTCTTAGCTCGGTTGGAGACCGAAGTACCTACTTCGGTATATGCAAGCTTGTTCGGTAATCTTATCTTGGCTAGAGTGGTTCAGAGGAAACTACTGACATTCCTACGAGTTCTAGTTCGGTTATTGACTACAGAAGTCTACGTATTAGGGGCAAACAGAATCTTAGTTCGGTCGCAATGTGATTTTTGATCTGAGGCTTGTTTTTCTACATAACAGCTCATACTCATACAAGTTCTATTCATTTTTTTCGTGAAAGTACAGAAGCAAAAACAAGGAATACACGAGCATCCTTCACCCAGATAGAAAAAACAGAAATGAAGAAAGCAAAAAACAACAACAAGTTTTCTCAGAACTTACCAGTGTGGAGAAGAAGAAGTTGAAGATGAAGCAGTGGCAGCAACGGAAGCACGAACACAGTAAGCTTAAAGCTCAAGAACTCGAGCAGCCAAAAAAGCAGAGGGAGAGTATGAAGGTGGTAAAAGTGAAGATACCCTAGCCTTAGGGTTCACTTTTGTTAGAGAGCCCAAAATTTGGGCGGGAACCGTCTCGAGATCTCAAAGCACGAAGACGGCGTGACAGCCGTCCTTAGCCCATCAGAGCCTGCCACGTGTCACTGGAATGGGAAGCGTTACAGACACTATGATTGAAGAGACGTTTTGACCGGACATAGTGATACCCGAGGTAAACTTAGTTCGGCTGGAAAGGCTAAAAGGGTTTTTTAGCTCGGCTGAAAAAGCGTAACAAGCTCTAGCTCGGCCAGAAGGCTGGTAATCCCAATCATGTTGCACAGATGGAATTAAGGGGCACATGAGAGGGTAATTTTTGGGAAAAATTGGGCCGAGCTGAGAGTTGGGCATTAAGGCCCAAAACGCGTAGGACCGCGTAAAAAGGCCGTACTGAATACTCCGGCCCAGAAGGGCAAAGTTACTTCGGCCTTAGGAAGACAAAGCTACTTCGGCTCAAGGAGGCAAAATTACTCCGGCTCAAGAAGAGATCGTTACTTCGGCCCAAGGAAGAGTAAAATTACTCCGGTCTGGAGGCAACTCACAGTTAGGCCGGTCTCAGAGTTAGTCCGGTCGCAGTATGTTCTGGGAAGGCCGGTGTCAGAATTAGTCCGGTCGTGACTTACAATGGTTAGGTCGATCAGAACTTGTTACTTGGAAGTTTGATCTAAGCACACCAAGTTTTAGACACATCTAACATAAATACACCTAAAAAGTAAAAAAATTGTAAAAAAAATCTTTTAAAAATTCATTAAATACCAAAAATACAAAAAAAAATACAAGAATTCAGTATATTTTTTGTATTTTTATGTATTTATTAATTTTTTAAAATATTTTTTTATAAACTTTTTACTTTTTAGATACATCTAAGTAAGGTGCATCTAAAAAAGTAAAAAAATGTTTAAAATTTAAAAAATATTTACTAAAAATAAAAAAACTAAAAAAGTCAATTTTCAAAAAATTTAATCCAAAAAACTCAAACCAAACATAATGATTAATATTTAACAATTATGAATGTGTGATACAAAATAGTAACTGAACGTAATATAAAAAGATGATAAGTGTTACATTAATTATTAATATATATATATATTAATCTATGGACATATGTATTTTCTACTGTTTCACATAACCATCAAATACAAAATGGTAGTACATGATCAGAGGCTGCTATTCTCGATGAATCAACTAGCCTCCTTTCTTCTCTCTCAGAATCTCAAAAACAACACATGATCAGAGACTACTGATGCGAGTTCATACTACTTACATCAAGATAGCATAGCGCATGCTATCGTTAACCATGAGATGATTTATCTCTGACATCCGAGCCAACTCATGAGTACCTGACACCCATACTCCATCACCGCCATTGATACGAGGTTGAGAAAGGCACGAGAAGAGGGAGAACGGAGCTCCAACAACGCTTAAAATGACAGAAAACCCATTCCATCCTGATCGGCCTGCAAAGATTGGTAATTCAGTTCTATTTCCATCCCCAAACATGTTCTCATCGGCTACCCGGGGACTCTTCTTCATGTTCTGGAGGCTCCGCCTCATCGCTGCTGCCAGCGTATGCCACATCACTCCGGTGGTGGTGGGCTGGTAGATGAAGGCTTATCTTGCCTGAATTTTCGAGGAGGGCTAGGTAGTTGAAGATAGTTAGTTGTGTTGAAGAGATAGATGGTTTGGGGGGATAATCTTCCTATGTGGCTTTTAGATAGTGCAATGTTGGTGGTGGTGTTGCTAGTGGTGTTGCTGGTGCTTGTACTTATCACGAAGGTTTATGGGTGCTTTTAAAGACTCACTTGTGTGCCTTTGTGTTTTTTTTTAATAATGCTATACATAAAAGAAAATTTATGTTTAATTTTAACAATAAAATAGTTTATTTAAAATGGATTGAGTCATTTAAAATTGTATACGCTAACTCCTTAATCGCTATAAGGAAAGTAAATTGACCATTTTTCTCCTTGTTTTCAATTCAATTAGACTAATCGGCGTAATGTAAAAATAAAATTAAGGATAACATTGATGCAATTAAAATTGTAATGACCAAATTAACATAAGAAAGCGTAATTTGTTTTAATTTTTATCTAGAATGATATTTTACTCTTAGTTCCTATCATTTAAAATAAAAGTTCATTGATATGATTTATATTTAAAATAAAAAAAAAATTTGTTTACCAAAAAAAAAATATTTTAAAACAATTAAAAAAAATGTCACATAATTCTAATATGAAGTTCTATATAAAATTTTCATTGGTAGATAGTTTTTTTAATTATTTTTCTATTTTATAATTGTCTCGTCTTTCAAAATCAATTTTATAACGGTTAAATTGTTGACATTTAAAAACTTAAATTATTAGATATTGGAGTAACTTTATTAGAAAAACAAAAATACAACTTTATTATTTATATGGTAATTTTATTAATTATACCGACAAAGCTGCCTAAATATACCTAGAGCTTTGTTTATTGAGATATTAGGTCATGTTTGATTCACAAGATTAATAGTGAAGTATTAATAATCCTATTAAATTAGTGTGGTATTCACTATCCAATTGGATTAATATCCATTGAATTAATAATCCCACCCCTACCCCATTACTAATAATCTTACAAATTTGTTGGATTAATTATCCATTGGATTAATAATCCTAAACCAAAATCTTAAAACAAACATAGAATAATTGGGCCCACAGATTAATAATCCTAATCTCATGCTCTAATCCATCCAATCAAACATGCCCTTAGAGACAATTCGCTAGATTTTAGCATAATAAAAGGAGAAATTCGTACGATTTTAAATCTATGTGAACACTAAATCAAAAGGGTCCTAAAGTAAGATCTTGAAAAACAAAAAGTTAGTGCGAAGATCATAATTATGCTGAAGTGACCAATTAATGAACAAATTAATTTTGATCCTACGATCCAAACCGTTTGATAAAGTTATCTTTTTACAAACATGTTTTGCTATCAAAGACAGATGGAATCAACTTCATGTGTGATATATACTGATCAACACATTAATTATTGAGTCCAGTTAATAACAGTTTAAGAATTGTTTTTAAAAACTATAAAATGATAAAATAATTTTATTTTAGTACATTTTTTACATATTTCAAAATATCTTTGATATATTTTAATATATTTTTTCAATATTAATAACAGTTTTAAAGGCTGTTTTTAATATATATATATATATATATAATTATTGGCATTGTTTAAGAGCCTTAGAGGATTTCGATCTCATAGTGGACCATCACCTAGACATAGGAATTGAAAGAAGAATCAATACCTGTTTGTGACAGATCTCTCAAGAATTCCTCCACTGTCTCCTAATGTTCTCTATTGTATGTACATATCTTGGATGGTGATACACTCCATTTACATGAATAGAATTGACAGTTGATGGTTGTGAAAGATACCTATCAACTAATCTGTGTTTAAATTTAAAAATAGTAACAACAATGATTTAGACCACTAAAAAATGCATCACTAATAGCACTAATACATTGGAAATGACAAAAAAAATAATAAAAAAATAAAAATAAGGCATAGAAAGTGGACGGGGCCCACTGCCACATCATTAGTGCTCCCTTT